GGAAGGCATGTTTACTTGAGCAGTAACTGTACCTCCAGCACAGATCAGCGAAGCACCACTGGTCAGCACAGCATCATGAGCATTTCCTTTATTTGCTGTGGCCACTCCAGCACAGAGGCCATACCCAGTTTCAGTGTCACCTGGGCCACCACCAGTGTTTACCATAATAGAGTCCTGGTACTGATGTCCAAGATTAAATTCTTGAATTACAAGGAGTCTGAGGTTGTATAGTTTCTGTTTCCTTTGTCCTCAGGACATACCTGGATGCTGCAGCACTCCATATGGCCTTGATATTATTAACAGCTGGGAGCATTTAGTCATCAGGACTTCAAATCCTGCTGCTGATTCAGCACTTTTATGCCAATCTGTGAGTGGGCCAGCACTGCAGCATTCTCCCTCCAGCACACCCACATGGGCAGCTTGTCCCCACACAGTGAGTCTCTGAGACAGGACTGCAGGAATCCTCTTAGAAACGTGCCCAGGTTGTGCTGAACCTCTCCCTCTTCTGGCCTGGCCTCGGCTGCCAGCCAGCGTGAGCAAAGCAGCCAGGCAGTAACACACCCTGCGTCCCTCCAGCCACACCCCGAGTGCTCCTCACCTCCTCCCAGGACTCTGAACTGATACCTGCTGCTTGTCCTTGTCCTGCAGAAAACAGGCCAGTGACACAAAGAAGCCCTTCATCCAGTACTGTTGATGAGCAGCAGATGGATTTGGGCAGACAATCCCCAATTCACTTTTCAATTTTGTTTTACAGTTTTTCAACACTTATTGATCTTATGATATAATATCATCCCTTAATAACTTATCTGGGCAATATGTGGTCTAAAATGTGGTCTGATGTTTGTTTGAGCAAACATTCCAATTTCACATGAACAACATTTTTTATTCAGGCACAGATAAATGATGGTCAATGACCTCCAGGACTGTTGACATTTTTATCTGATACTTTCAAGCCCTTACCTCAGAATATAGGTGCGGCACCATGAATCAAAAATAGGAACAGAAATATTCAAAGAAAACAGAAGATTTAAAAAGTAAGACCCAGACATCAAAGTTCTTAAGATGGGTTTTAAAAACAAGGTTTTTATAAAATAAACTAAGTATAAATTCCATTTGTGATAATTCAGAAGCTACCTATTGCACACACTTCATAATTAAGCATTTTCTTCTGCATCTGAGATGTAGAACTCCCTCTGATTCCATTCCTAACATCAAATTCTTAACCTCATCTTTTCCCCCAGCCTCTCAAGCCCCTCTGCAAAAAGGTCAGTCTTTCAACATATCCTTACAGTCATCAATTTACAATTAGACTGTTTTTTTCTGAAAAGCAATGTGCAGCCAAAGACACTGAGGACAAGACAAGGACTGCTGACACCCTTTTTATTCCCTGTATTAGTCCTTGAGGCCTCCTAAGCAGCAAGACTTCTGTAACTACATTGTCAACCTGCTCACTTGACAGTTTGTCTCCTCCAAATACCTTTTGAACTTAAGGTCTCTTTGAATGAAATTTGATAGACAAGGTGATGAAACTTCTACAAGTTTGATAAAAAACTGGTGACTGGTAAAGAAAAATAAGCTGCAGGCAGAGAGAGGAAGCTGGAGCTGGAGCTGCTGCTCTGAAAACCATAACCAAAGCAAATTTGTCTAACATTGCATTTGCATTGGAGGCATCCTGTTTACACCCAGCAGATAAAAATAAGACATGTCACATTTGCATATTTTTCCATCCTACTTGGGGGCATTCCTGTTAAATGCAGAGCCACCCCAAGAACTGCAAATCTTTTTTGGTTTTTGCATCAAGACCAATAAGGCCTGAAGCTCTGGAGAATTTCAGACTGAAAAAAAAGAGAAGCCAGCCCAGAATTCACCTCTGAAGAGGCTAGAGTCATACATGTGTGTGTTAGCTGGGCTCTGGCTCAGGAGCAGGAGCAGGAGTGGCTGCAGAGCAGTGCAGTATGAGATGGGAAAGGCTTTGCTGCCTGCACAGGTGACAGAGCTGTGCCATGTGGTGACACCAGCCTGGGTGTGAAGCACTCCTGCAGAAGGCAGAGAACAGTCTGCTCATAACAGCTGTGCTCCCAAGAAGCCAGGGATATCTGTAAATAATTACAGCTGTACTTTAGGAAAGGAGGAATTGGTTATTGCATATCATCTTCCTTACGTGTCAGCTCTCCTTTTCCTATCTCTCTAGTTTAAAGCTATATTTATTGCACATTTCACACACTATTTTTTAAGTGGGGAAGATAAGCCTCTTTGATGTGTTCTCCCAGTGCTGTGGAGAGGTTTAGGATGGATGTTTATTACCACATCCTTAAAGTTTGAATGTGGATCACCTCTTACTGTTGCAAGTCAAGCCTTGGCAAAAGTCATAAATGAGGTTTTGATACACCACACAAGAGAAATGCCATGTTTGGATACATATTTCTATTCCTTCCAGCAAACTATTTACAGAGATGGCTTCATTAAAGCAACACAAAAAACTTAAAAGTAATAAATATAAAAACAAAATAATTTTTAAAAAGATATCAGACTGAAGGAGAAGTGATAAAAATACATTATTCTGACCTAAGTACAACCAATATTTAATTAACTGCTCTTACTGTGCCTGGAGTTCTTGTCAATGCTTTAATAAAAGGGTCTAATCTTTCTTTTCCAAAGAAATCAAGGACAAAACTCTCTAGAGTGGGAACAGAATCTTACTTTACTTCTGCAGTCAATTTTGCAGGAATTGCACATTTTCCACTGTTTATTCATACTGTTTCAACTTCATACATAAAATATACATAAGCTATGGTAAAAAAAAAAATAAAAAATTATGAGTGTCACAATGAACAACCCAGAACAGAAGAGGAAAAAAAGAACAATCTGCAAACAACAGACAGCTGAGGGAATTATGTTATAAATCACCTAATCCAATGCTTTTCTTCAGTATCACTGCCCATTCGAAAAAATTAACAAGTATTGTAATAAATGAATTGGGGTGCAATTTGGAGCACAGCAATAAAAGGAACTTTATTTTTAACTGATGAGATATATTTCAAATGTCTTTGATTATTTACACAACATTTATTTCACTGCTTTTTTACTGTCTTCTGGAAGAGATTCTAAGTAGTTATAACAAAAAAAATATTATAAAACCAAGCCAAAAGAAATGCCCTATTTCATCCGAACAGTTGTACATCCAGCCCAGTATCCTTCTCTCCCAGCAGCAAAAGACAATTATGGTTAGAAGAAGCTTATGACCTGCCTCTCTCTGTACAGCATTCCCCCTGTACTTTTCCAGCACCCAGAATCATTCTACCAGGGTCATTAAACGGTCCTCTTCTGCTGAGTCCTTCTGGTATCCAGGTCAGGACCTGCTGCCCAAGGACTTTTCTATGCAATTTCTGCCCCCAGTGATAGTATCTGCATCCAAATCTTTCTGTGGCAGCAAGTCCCACAAGTGGGGGTCTATTTTTAGGCATTTTATATTTACTCATGATGGTTTTGGGTGCTCCTGGTTCTAATATTGTAAGATGCTCCATTTAGCTTATCTATTACCAGAGAACTGTTAAGTGTGTCCTGAACTAACTACGAATGAAATATACTTCTTCAGCTCAGTTAATTTTAAAACATGATTTCTTAGAAACAGACAGGCTAAGACATGGAATTTTTAAAAATAAAGATTAATTAAATGAGGTAATTGTTAAGGATGTTTATTCACTGTATTTCTGAAGGTTTCTCACAAAAATAAGTGAAAAAACCCCTTCACAGTCAAACATGCAAATCCAAGTCATAGAATCATAGAATGCTTTAAGTTGGAAGGGACCTTAAAGATCATCTAGCTCCCAGCCCCCAAGTCAATTATACAGCCAGCACTTTTTCTGTGAGAAGCTAATCCAATCTTCACATCAACCTAGATTTGGAAAATTCCTCATCTGGGTCTGACCTTGTCATTTTGGACTCTGCATTTTTGTATTTTCTTATTCAGTGTTTTAATTTTGTGTTCCATCTTCAGCCACTTCCTGACAAGCAATTACTGCCTTTTAAGAATGTCTTAAACTATCCAGAATAAAAGATCTTGAATACAATGAGACAACATCTCATCCTTTCTGCTTAGGAGAGGATATTGGCATATCCTTGAAAGGTACAAATCTTACTAGGTATGGTATTATTTTATTAAATACAAAAAGAAAAATTACCAGCAATCCTCTAAAGAAGTCTATGAAGACTACTACAGCTAAAAAGCACACAAAACTCTTCAGGTTGAGAATCCAAAGGCAGCTTTAATGTAACTTCTTAATGTAACTGCCATACCTAGATTACACAGGTATTAGGCAGTCAGTCCCTTTTTGAGTACCAATCTGAAATGATGTAAAGCTGATAGAAATCGGCTCTAAATTTTCTTTAGCTGGAGGAGTAGCAGGTACTCACATAGCAGCTACAGACCACCAGCCTGCAGTGCACCTTGAGCTATATTCCTTTTCCACATCTGAGTGAATTCCTTATTTCCCTTTCACCAGTTGCCTGGTGGTTAAGGATCTGTAAAAACAAGGATATGGATATAGCCATAATTTGACCACAAATATTTCAGCATATTTTCAGTTCAACTGTTTTAATTGTCAACAGAAGACCAAGATTGTGTAATATCTGCACACATAAACTGGACCTTCTTACTGCCAGGCTCAGCCTCACACAGTTGGAAATAAGTACTTTCCGTGATAAAGCACCATTGCACAATGTCTGCCTAAAGAATCATAAACGGACCCTTTGATGGGTAGTTCAGAGAGTGTTATAAAGCCTACTTTCCTCAAAATCTGCTCAATCACTATATAATCATTTACTTGCTGTTTGCAAACGTTAATCCAGGGTCAAGGTAATGGCTGTCTGACACGACACTTAAATTTATTTAAAACCATGCCCTTTTAGCATTCATTTATAACTTTGCTGGGCTGCTCTGATTTAAAAGCAGGTTGGCTTTAACAGGGCATGGGCACAAGTGACCTAACACTACAAACAAAATGCTGCTTCTAGCTTCAGCTTTTTTTCTAACACTACTGCAGTGCTCTAATGCCCAAAATGAAATAAGCCTTACACCTGCAGACTGTAACACCATTGAAACAGATGCAGGAGTGGCCCTGGATTTGGTCAACAGACATCGCAGAGATGGTTATGTTTTTGGTTTATTCCGTGTTGCTGATGCACATGAACTACATTTAGTAAGTATGAACTTAAAGACTGATTTACACAAGACTGTGATTTTTAAATAATGAGCCAGGTAATTAAGAGCTTATGTTTATTGCTTTTACTAGAACAATGTTGATGTAATCCAGTGAATCAGCTGTGACTTACATCACCTCAGTATTCATTTGTGTATGATTTACTGCACGTAAACTTGATTTCAAACAATGCTGAATGGCCTCTCTTCTCTTGGCCAGCAGGATGTTTGCATAAGAGATGCTCTGAACAGCTCTATACAACTCTGGAAATTAATCTGCTCTGTCTGCTGTCTGGTTTCAGATGTTATACTCAAAATTTATATTCAGAAGGTTTCTTTATTCCTTGAATGTCTAACATTAATTAGACCAATGTATCCTGCAAGACGGATTTTTTTGTTATTATCTTAATTTCACAGATAGCTGAATAAACTGGTGGGAAGGGAAAAAGGCAGAGGAAGTCAAAGGAGTTGCTACTCTGCAAACCAGGGGAGGGACTGGATAGAGAATTCCTATCGGTCATTTTCTGTTTCCTTCCTATTTCCATTTTTTTTTCCTAGAGAAGATACATAAGTCTGAATGACTGCTGAAATGCAAAAACAAATCAACAGCAGAAAAAGCAATAGAATAAAAATGTCTTTATGTAGTACATAAAAGAGACCAAGGACAGGCAGATTTACTAACACACCTGGTAGCTTTCAGCTGCTTGATTATGAAACTGGTATCCAGGCACACATGCACCGCCCCAGAAGTCTCAGTATAGCAACAGAAAAAACAGGCTAGTTTTTCATGGAGCTGCTTAGTAGTGCCTGCAGGGACAAGTACAGATTCAGAAAGTGACCCAAAGCCCAGGCTGCCACAGGTCTTCAGGTACACTTGCAAAAAAACCTGATGGATTGTTTTGCCTTTCAAAGACAAGAATGCAGCAAGTTATACCATTGGGTTGTACACAGTAGCCAGGCAGTTAAAGAGCTTCATCTAAGAAGGAGCTCTGCATTAAGAGATTTAAACTCTGAAGTCTCCTGTCCAGAAGAATTCTGCTGCCATGCAGCTATGTGTGTGTCCCCCTCTGAAGTGGTACCACCAGGCAGTAAGGCATGCAAAATGCATTGGATAAATTATAAAAAGCAAAGTTGTGTCTAAAAAGAAAAATCTCAGTGTTTCTACATTTTAAGCAACAATTGACTATATAAACTATAACTTGGAATATTGACTAGTGCTGTGGATTCATGCTTCCAGATGAATGCTATAAGCACTAGAATGCACATTTACATTTCGCTTTGTACCCTTAATGAATTTTGCCATCTTTGCAGTCCAGGGCCACAGCTTCAGCTGTCACACAGTGTCTACAAGAACAGAAAAGACACTTCTATCTATCTGACTGCTAAAGAATCCTTCCTGTAAGGTCTCTGTACATTCTCAGACCCAAAGCCACCAGATGTGATCTCCTGCACACTAATAATGTACATTATTGTGCAAGAACTTTTTTTGGTTCCACTGCCAAGATAACATTAAGAATATGTATATATTTAAAAAAAAAAGACCAAAGCATTATTTTGTTTCTCCATGCAATAGTGTGCAACAGGTTTATCATATCAGCCCCCTCAGAAACCTAAGCAGAGCAACTCCAGCCAAATCTCTACTGGGTTTACACAGGAGTTCTAGAAGCATAAGATACTCAGGTATCCACAACAGTTCTGGACTTGTGCCGAACTGTAGTGAGCAAAATGCTTTTAAAACAACCAAGAAGATACCATTTCCCCCCCAAAAAACTATTGAGCAGATGAACTGAAGAATTTTCTACTGTGTATTTGAATGTAGACACTTAACCCCTATTTTAAAATTAGAGACAATGCTAAGATATACAAATATTGCAAAACCAGGGTTTAACATGACATTGGTGGACTGTCACCAGTGAAAATATTACACTAGACTGCAGCAATTCTTCAACAAGGTCTCATCTATAAAGAAACACTGAAAAAGGAACCTGAATGGATGGAACTTCATAAGGCCTGAGGACACTTATTCACAGTGAAGGGTTTTGCATGTTTTTATCTAAATGACAGAATAAAATACATATGCATTTATTCTGAATGTCCTTACAAGGGCTGAATAAAGTTTAAAAAATCCATTCCAAAACTGTTTCTGTGGGTCACAGAAAATTCTTAGCACTACATGCCATTACACTGCTATCCAAATAAAAATTTTAATTCTCCTAATCGTATTTGCTCAGGAGACAGAACATACTAGAATAGTTTCGGAGTTAAGGATTCTGATTGGGATTATTAAAGTTTTGTTGCATCAATCCCTGAATAAACTGAGAAGGAAGCAAAGTTCTGAAAGTCTCTGGTCACTAAGGTAATTTGAAATGGCTGTAGATACATAATTGGGTGCCTAGACAACTGATGTCCTAATAGAACAGTACATTCTATGGGAAAATCAGAAATAGGGAATGGCAACCTTTTAACACTGGCATTTTCCCTACTTGATGAATGCTAGATTAACAACAGACACCTCTCACAGGTTATCAACAAAAGGATAAGAGGCAACAGGTGTAAGTTGCAGGAAGAGAAATTCTGACTACATATAAGGCGAGAAAAATAATGGAGAAAGTTGTGAAGTACTAGGATGGCCCAGAGATGTTGTGAAATGTCTTAGTGATACATAGAATGCAGTTGAAACTTTGAAGTTTCAGCTTTGCCTTGAGCAAGTGGCTGAGCAAGATGACCTCCAAAGGTCCCTTCCAGCCTGAACGCTTTCTATGCTTGTCAGCTCTGAAAAACCTTAATAGAGATCTGGAGAAGGTTCATTAAAGATTAAACATATCTACCTCAAAAAAAAGTTTATTTCAGATCAAACTTCTTGTCTATAAACTCCGTTTTACTTGCACTTCTCTTCCAGGGAAATTCAACAGTCCTCTACTTGACTTTGGATGTGCTGGAAACGGAATGTTCTGTCTTATCCAGAAGACACTGGGAGTCCTGTGAATACAGTGACACCTATCCAATGGCAAGCAATGGCATCTGCACCAACTCATACACCAATAATGCACTGACTTGATCTTCCTCTGAACTGCTCAGAAATTTGTGTCTCAGTGAACACTGGGCTTTAATATGGCTCATTCTAAACCAAAATCTAATTCTAGAATGTCAAACATATGCTAAAGGCTTGGGAAAGGATTGAGTCTTCAAATAAGTATAACTTTATTTAACTTGCTGTCTCAAAGGAACTATACTCCATATTCTACTGCTTGTAGCAGAACTTATGTTTTAAGGGTAATTTTCTGACAACTAAAGGGCACTAGAAATTATGTTTTAAGCACGTTCCTGGTATATGAGGCAGACATACCAGTGGTAAATTTTGTCAGTTTTCTGTCATAACATTTGTGGTACGACAATGTGAAATATTGCTAGTGTCATTATGTGAACAATATACAGCAATACTTGTCCTCTCTTTTGAACTCCAGTGATGAGAACTCCCAGTTCAAGACTTTATTTAAATAGGAGTTGCGATACTATGACAAAGGACAAAGTAGAAAGGCCAGGAACAGAGAAGAGAAAGCATTTATTCTTTTTTTTTTTTTTTTTTTTTTTTTTTTAACGGAGAAAAGGAATGGATGAACAGGTCCATCCACTTTTGACAAAGATTTATGTAACCTGGCATTCTAACTTTCCTTGCCATCTTGTCTTATCCTACTCTAAATAAGTATCAGGATGACTTAGAAAGCTGTTTCAGTTTTGCATTGTCTACTCAATCATGCAAACTGAGAATTAAAATAAAAGCCCTTGTAGAGAGAGATCCCATTTTATCTGAAGACAAATTTTGAGTGGTACCTGATCAAACATTCCATTAATGACCACATCTGTTATTCTTAGAGGTACTGCACATTAAAAGGAGGTATAATTTCTATGATCGCCTACAACCAATTAAATCCAGGGAAAATAATATCATAATCATGTATTCTTTTTTCCTCTCAGGACTTTGGGCAATGTAAGATTATCACATATACAAACCATCTGCTGAAGAAACCTCAACTATGTGGATTTAATTGTACATTAAGTCCAGGTAAAATAACCACTGCTGTAAGCCAATGCATACCTCAAACCAGCCCTTGTACCAAAGTCTGTACACTACTGGTTCATGGAAACCATACAGATCCATTCATCTGCTTGTAATTCATATTTTAGATAATTCAAATGGAATGTTAAGAATGAGTAATAGAATTAAGGTTACCCTACTCCTCTAAACCAGACTTTATTGATGTCAGCTGATATCACCATTCCAGTCCACCAAAATATGATAATGAACATCAGAAAAAAAGTAAACTTGGGAAGACTGCACATTTGGGGTGGTAAGAATCTAAGGTGATTTATAAGAATACTCATTTTCATGGGTTTGGGATTTTTTCACATTACAGAACAAACCCTTATTTGTGGAGCAAGGACAGGTATTTCACTTCCAAGGAAATGCTGCGTTTATGTTTCTCATTATGAGTTCACATTAAAGGCATGGGCACACTCCCAAGAGTATTAATATCCACTGTAATATTAGTCAATTATTTGTTTTCACAGTTCCACCTGACTTAGTAGAGTGCAAAGATTGTCCTGTGAAACTTGAAGCCTTAGAAGTCACTGAGCAACATAAAGATATTGCTGCAAAGGCCTTGAGGAAATTCAACAGTGAAGGTAACCACACAAACAACTTCGCTGTGGATAAAGTTGAAAGAATTTTAAAGATGGTAAGTGGCATTTTCTCCTAGAATTACTTAGAAATGGCACAATTTTATGAGCAACTCCAAGACCATGGGACCAGAACTCAAACCCTTCCAGGGTTTGAGTTGAAGGTCCTACTTTAGAAAAGACTTGTTACCAACTTCAATTTAGGTATGTGAAAGCAAAAGGACTTCTCATTTGCTAAAGAACTATGGCAGTGTGATGGCATTCAGAATTCAAATGTGCATATTTTAATTTAATAGTCTTTGTGTACATATTTTAATTTTGATGTACATGACATATATGAGTTTATTTACTACTGAGCAGACTTCAAGATGGACAGTCATGTATTATCGCAGTCACATGTTTTGTCAGTTGCAGCCAGATAATTTTTTACTCTTAGAATACTTAGCACATGGGTACAACAACAGTGGAACATGCTCAGCATCATTTTGACTCTTGCTGCAGAGCAAAGCAGCACTCTGAGAAAGGGAGATGAATTTGTGCTGTAACTCTTGAAGAACTCTGGGTCTGGTAAATATCTCCATATCTAAGTGAGGTCAATATGAAGACTTATCCTTTGGGTGATTTGAAGTATATTAATAACAAAATTTCTTGTTGGTAGACACTGGAGACTTTCGCTTAAACAGCACGGGATCATTCTGCCAAGACGTGTGTCAGCCCAGGACACCTCTGTAATGAGGTCCCAAGGCTCCCACCATAATACGTGTTGATCCTGGAAACTGCCTAAATGACAGCATGCCAAACCCACCTCCCAGCAGCTTTTAATATCGCTCAGAAACCTGACAGTGTCCCACACTGGAGCCCTGTGCATGTTGTATCCCTACTGCCATTTAGAAAGGGATTGTTTTCACATTGCCTGGGTTCATGTGTTTCTCCCCAAACACTTGGTTTTCACGCTTCACCATCTTCAGCTACAGCAACACTTTACATTGTACCTCTGGATTTTAACACTCAGAAACTAAGAATTACAATAAAAAAACCATACCATAAAGTATGTGCATGCACTTTCAACCAATTTAGTTAAACTAGTGAAACTCGTGTGTGCACACATGCCAAGGACACCTTCAACACAGACTTGATATAAAAGTACTGCTATAGTTGGAAATTAAAATGAAACACCTCTTTATGGATTTTAATAGGATCACAAAGGCTTTCTCCCATCTTCATATGGAGCAAGGCCTTCTCCATAACTAATGCCCTTGACAACAGAGAAAGCAACATTCTCACAGTCACTGGCAGAATTTCATCTAAAATTAACATCAACACTCTAAATACTATGCACTCCCATCACTGGAAATGGGTGGTTGCCATACAATGGATCTCTCTACTTTCACAGAAGCAGCAGTTCAGTTTAGGGAGAAGACTCTAAGGACACTACTTCCTAAAAACACAGGCTGTAAAAGTAACAGATTTTATAGCACATGCATACTAAACAAAGAATTAAAGGAAGCGTTCCTGGAAGCTGTAAGGGCGTGAGATATAAATTATCTAACCTGTTTTCCTTGCTGAATATGTGTATGTGCATGAAAATTTGAACAGGACAGGTAAGGAAAGCATGAGGTAGATGGGATTTTGACAATAAGATGACGTATGGTTGCTCTGAAAATTACAAGACTTTAAATACACCTAGTTACAACTTCTTTGACCTCTTGGTTTCAGACTGCCTCCCATGAAGGTCATATTTTAGGATTCTCTATAAAAGAGACCAACTGTTCAAAATCTATGCAGGAAACAGATCAGGCCCTGGAATGTGATTTTCTGCATGACTGGCACGCTGTAAGTAAAGTCTCAGAACAAGAACTGATATAAAGGGTGGTACCGGGAAGATTTTACCAATATATTTTCAAGTGTTTATTATAAGCATGAACCCAAACTCAAAACTAAAAATCCAGCATGTCCAAGCCCAGATCCTAATTTTATAGCTGCTCCATTATCTTTTATAAGGAAACAGTCTGAACTCTCAAATCTTAATGTGACTGGAATCTGGTATATTAGAGGCCTAGAGTTTTCCAGGTTGTATCCGGCTTTTGCATTCAAATTGTGGCCAATCTCTAGCAAATCGTTCATGCTATGTCCATAAAAACTTTTACACCAATATGAGTCATAGATCCTGAAAAAAAATATATGTCTTATGTAATCTCAGTGAGCTCAGGGTCACTTTTTTCTCTACTGCAGAAGAATAGATAGTGGAATAATTCAAGCTCATCTGCAGAAAACTATCAAAGTATTCTCTTCACCCCATTTTTCCATTACTTTTATAGTCTACACCAAAGAAACAGCTAGGCAAGATCTCATAATTTCAGAATAAATTATTCCTGAGAAAATAAGTTGAAATAATTAAATAAAATATGGGAAAATAAAATATGTAAAACTTTTGGTTTATATGGTTTACATCCAACACCTTCTCTGGTTTTTTATACTCTAGAAGACTGGAAAAGGTTGTGAATTAACAGGCAAGGAGCCACAAATTCACTAGAACAAAGCACAAGGCAGATGGTGTGAATTCTGCTCTCAGTGCTGCCATCACTGCTGTTTGTGTGTAAAATGCCATTACCATTTGTAGTCACTGAGCACAAAGGGCTACTAATGGCCCAAACAAATATCAAGACAAAGCACCCAGTACATACACAAAACCCATCACCTGAGTTCTGTGCTCTTTCACATGAGAAATTCCACACACAACGACTGGACAGCAGGAGAAAGTCACAGCAAATAGAATGATAAGGGAAGTAATGCAAAAAAATTACAACAAATTGCTTTAAAAAAATAAATGGAAGAAAGCTCTGCCTTGAGCTTTATCCGAAGCAGCATAGCTATAACAGTGCCAGGTTTTGAGAGCTTTGAGCAGAATTACAGAATAGTCCAATCTGAACAGATGTTTGACAAGCAAAGACAGAAAAAAAATATAAAAAGGAAGAAAAATCAGGCACCCAAGAGTACTCATTTTAGAGACATTAGTGGCTGGCCAATTTCTTAGACACCAAAAGGGAAGTGAGATGCAGAGTAGTAGCCCTCTGGGTGCACATGGTGAAGCGCATCTAGAGTGCATCACAGTGAAGAACCCTCAAAACCAGCACATATTTTAATCATTATTAATCACTGACAAGCATTGGTTGGAAGACTCAGGATCTGGCTAAGTTATGTGAAGATACTTAGGTGTCAAAAGAATAGCCTAACTAGTAAAATGTCGAACATTCAGTAGTTTGTATTAATTCCATCACAGGAACCCAGATGTGCATTGTGGGTTTTTTTCCTTGTCTTTTGCTTAGCACACTGGATTCTGCAAGGCAAGAATTATCAGTGATGCAGATGAAGCTGATGGAACAGATATAAGCTGTGAAATCTATCATCCCTGGGTATGTACTCAGTAATGGACACATCTCTGGGTGTATCCTCATGCAGGTTGCAGCAATCTTGCTTAGTCCAGACTGACAGTTGTAATATTTATTCCAATTTTCTATTGCCTGGTTATGATGCAGCATGTCAGGACAGACTGACCTGCAAGTCGTAGGCCGGCCAAAGGATGAATCAGAATTGAGCTGTCCCTACCACTCCTTTCAAGTGTGTCTTCTCTCAGTTCAATCACTTGACTAAGTGTGAGTAGAGATTGGCAAAAAAGTTCAAAGAGATTTTAGAAAGCAAGGGGAGGGGAGATGATCTTTATCATATCTGGTATTTCAGTTTATATCACAACAGCTATTCCAGTGTGGATTTGTTTTGTTTTGATCTATCACAAATACTTCTCAGCTGGTTATATAATTTCAACATGGTGTGTTTCCAGCAGATTTTCAGTAACTTAGAATTTTATTATCTATTCAATTTCCTCCATCATGAAAAAAATACATATTTTTTTCCCTTAAAGATCATCAGAGCTACAAATGCAAACCTGCTAACTCCCACCTCTCTCTTTCTCATCAATTTCTTCTGCCCTATCAACACCTGATCAATACTTCTTCCCTGGTGTTTTTATGAACAGCACCATGGCTGTGGAAGAAGAGGGAAACATTCAGCCCTGGGACATCCACACAGACATCCCCACTGTCATCATCATTTTGGTCACAGACATCGCCATAAGCATCACCACAGACATGAATGTCCCCCCTCTTCTCAGTCCAGACCTGAAGACGATGAGCATAACCCCAAAACCAGCAAGAAAGAGCAAGACAGCAACAAAGGACTTTCTTCTCCCCCTCCTCCCCATGATGAACCAGATCATCACCATCCTACTCCACCTCCTCATGGACCAGATCATCACCACCACGAACCACCCTGTCCCCCTCCTCATGGACCAGATCACGACCACCCTCCTCACCACCACGGACCACCCTGTCCCCCTCCTCATGGACCAGATCACGACCACCCTCCTCACCACCACGGACCACCCTGTCCCCCTCCTCGTGGACCAGATCATGACCACCCTCCTCACCATCATGGACCACCCTGTCCCCCTCCTCCAGGACACCCTCCTCATCACTGTCATCACTGTTTCAGACATCATCACAACAAGACAAGCATATCAGGAAAGTATTTTCCATGCCATGTAACAGGAGCTGTCTATCGCATCCCAGTTCTAAATCAGCAGGATTCTCTCACACCTCCCACTGCAAACTTTCCTGAACTATCCCAATGCAACCTTCACTTTTCCAGCACTGGCTCAAAACCAAAGGAGATGGCAGAAGCTCCAGGCTTTCCAGATCACCCTACACAATCAAAATCCTGCCCTGGAAAACCCAAACTCGACCTTCCAAAAATTTTGCCTTTATTTCCTCATAGCTTTGTAACAGAAAATTCTCCTATATGACCTCAGAGAAAGATGTTCCTGGCTCAATAATTTCAGGGGCAACCACAGTCCTACAGTCAATGAAAACAGCAGATGGAGAAATGGGAAAAGCATTCTGTTTCTAGGAAGGAGAATCACTGAAAATATTCATTAAGTATTTCAACCTGCTTGTTCATCATGGCTACCTCAAGCTCCACTGTAACTGAAAGGTTCAAAATTCTGAGTCCCTCAGATAATGTGAATGGGTAAAAATATCCTCAGAAAACAATGCTCCTTCAGTTCTAACAAAAAGGAAAATTCTCTAATAGTGCAAAATACCATCTAAAATCTTTCTTTTTTTCATAATTCATAATTATAATGTATTTCTCCAAGGAATCTTACGTAGAGGAAATTTGACTGCTTTCCATAAAAAAGTAATCCATGACTACACTCATGAATCCACTACACTCATGCTTTATACAGATTTATAGAAAATAAAAATGCAACCATTTTTTTCTCAACACAGTTGCCTGTTTTGTTGGTTTGTTTTTTTGTTGTTTTTTTTTTTTTTTTACTACACATAATTAGCTATTGGATATTGAACTAGAAATTATATTAAGATATGAAGCTATTTAGGTATTAAACATCCAAAAAGCAACTCTAGCATAAATTAACTAATGGTGTTTGGGTTAGCACTGTTATCTAGAAGGGGTCTGAGAACAGTTAATGACTTGCTGTCTCACTGCAGGGTGGCCTGCACAGGTGCTTCCATCGCTACAGCTGCTGGTGGTGATACACAGAAATATTGCAGTCAAGGACAGCCCTTCTCAAATAGTTCATAATTGCTCTCAGGGGAAGAGAAAAGCAGATGCATGTAATAACTCTTTCATGTAAATGTTTTCTTTATTGCTGATTCTTCCTCACTGGAAACTGAGTTGGGAGGAGCAGGAAGAAAGAATAGTGGTGCCTCTTTATACTCCAGCCCCCATCAAGGTCAAGTCCATTCAGACTGTCAGGGGACCAGCAAGCTGATTCAGAACAGCTATGTCATAAGCAAGAACATGGGATTAATCTCAAAAAAGTTAGTAATTTGATCATCCAAGCAGCTTTTTAATGGCATAAAGTGAAACACAGTGCAAAGGCCACATTGAAGAAAAAGAAACAAAATGAGGACTCATTGTGACTCTGTGAAGATTGACTAATTTTTAGAAGTCATTTATCACGTATGAACAAACTTATTTCTGGTTTAGTTTATCCACAGTCTCTAAAGTGCATTTTCTTTAATCAAAACTTGTAGCAAGTGTGGTGAGTTTGCCCTGGCTGGGTGCCAGGCACCCACTAAAGCTGCTCTGTCACTGCCCTACTCAGGCAGACAGGGGAGAGAAAATATAACAGAAAGCTAATGGGTCAAGGTAAGGCTAGAGAGATCACTCACCAAATATCATCACAGGCAAAACTCACTGGACTTGGGGAAATTGGCTTATTACTAATCAAACCAAAGTAAGAGAGCGAGAAATAAAGTCAAATCTTTAAAACACCTTCTTCCCTGGTGTTTACTTCTGATTTTCTCTACCTTCTCCCTCAGCTGGTGCAGGGGGATGGGAATGGGAGTTGCAGCCAGCTCATCACATGCTGCTTCTACCCTTCCTTTTTCCTCAGGATAAGGACTTACACTTTTCCCTTGCTCCAGCCAGGGATCCCTCCCACTGGAGGCAGTCCTTCATGAACTGCTCCAGTGTAGGTCCTTGCCCTGATATGCAGTCCTTTAAGAACAAACTGCTGCATCATCAATGCCCTAACAAGTCCTGCCAGCAAACCTGCCCCAGCCAAGGCTTCCACAGGGTCATAGCCTCCAGTGGGCATCCACCTGCTCCGGTGTGGGGTCCTCCATGAGCTGCAGGTGAATCCCTGCTCCACCACTGACCTCCAGGGGTTGTAGGGGCACAGCTGCCTCACCATGGTCTGTTCCATAGGCTGCAGGAAAATCTCTACTCCTCACCCACAGCAGTTCCTTCCACACCTTCTTCACAGGCCATGGGATTTGCATAGCTGTTTTTCTCACATATTCTCTCTATTCTCCCTCCTGTTCTTTCCCAGTTCCTTTTTTTTTTCTTCATCATGTTACCATGCAGAGGCACCACCACCAGCACTGATGGACACAGTCTTGGCCAGAACTGGATTAATCTTGGAACTGACTGGCATTGGCTCTGTCAGACACAGGAGAAGCTTCCAGCAGCTGCTCACAGAAGCCAACCCTGTAATCCCCTGCTATCAAAAGCTTGCCACACAAACCCAATACAGCAAGAAACCGCTGGAACACAGAAGCCAAGGCAATCCCAAGGTGTTCACAGACCCAAAGCAAAGCTATTTGGTGCCACACAGGGGAGACAAGCACCAGATTTTCTCAGCCATCTCTAATCCTGGCTTGACCAGACTCAGACAATAGTGTTTAATCCTTTGTTCTTGGGTGTCACATATCTGTAACGATAACAAAGCACTATGATCACTGACTAATTCATAAGCCAGACAGTCTCCACATGGCAGAAGAGATGGGCTTTCCAATAGGATCATGAAGGACAAGGTTTATCAAGCGCTATTGAAGGGTTATGTGACATTCAACCATTTGCATGTGTCCAGCAACTTTTTAAAAACATTCTGAATACTGTAGTTCTCAGAACTGTTGCAACCTGAACACTGAACAGATGTATAAAATTTACAAGGTTGTTGTCCAAAATTTCATTGCCACTGTGACCTTCCTGGATGTTTTATTTAAGCCTTGTAAAATTCATTCTCAGTAGCAGTTTAGGTGTTAAGAAGTCAGAAAACTACAGCCTTTTGCTTTACTTTGCCTAAACTGGTCCCCAGCTGCAGCCATTTATCCTGTTATCTTGATGGCAGGTGGATAACCTTAGTGTCATTCTGGTGAACAAACCAAGTTTATTTAGATAAACTCAGAAGTTTATTTGCAGTATAAACAGGGTATGATGAGAACCAACCAACCCCAGCAACTCACTCATTCTGTTTACTTAACTACTGCTCCTGAAAAACAGAAGAGGTGACTAAAATCCTGTCAGGCATTCCTTTCCCATTTGTTTCTTAAAGAGCCTTCTAATTCAGGGGGCTTTTTTCATCCAATTATGAAGGCCTTCATTGTACTAGCACTCTGCTGTAGTTTTTTCTCTAGCAGAGCCATTCCTCTTGCCTTTGAGTTCTCGGACTGTGATGACCCTGATGTCTTTAAAGCTGTTGACGCAGCACTGAAGAAATACAATGGAGACAGCACAACTGGTAACCAATTTGCTCTATACGTGGTGATGGAAGCCAAGAGAACTGTAAGTAGACTTTGCAAAAAAAAAAAAAAAAAGTTGGACTTGTTTATGGACTCTGAATCAGCTTATCTCCATCTCGTTTGTAAGGGGCCAAGCATGACAGCACAGTGTCTTCCAAAAATGTTTTAAAAAATCAAAGTGACTTGCACAGTAAGATACTTGTTCCCCTGACAAGCAGGGGTGTATATTATGTTTTTATCAGCTCAGTGTGCCAGTGAATTGCTTACTAATGCAAGGACTAAAGAATAGGAAATTTCTATCACCAACACAATTTGTCTTACTATTCCACTCTGTTCTCTTTTTTCTTTATTGGAAATTCTGCTCCTTTCCATCACCTGTAAGGTTTTCAGACCAATGGCACAACCACACTTATAAAAAATATTAATATACTCTTGACTTGGGAAGAGCTGGTGCTGCACATAAAAAGAATCACCTGATAAAGTTTGGCAATATTCTGACTTGTTTGTGAATATTATTTGACTGACACCAGTCCTAAGTCACAGATCTATCTAGAAGCACTCGGTGGTATTTTAATCAAATAGGGTGACAGCTAAAATTACAAGAGAAAGAAGAATGCAACATGATCCTTTGCCTGGAGTCCTTCTATATAGCCTTAATCTAACAAAAAGTATTTATCTAAGAGAGGTATACAAAGATGGTATTATCAAAATAATGACAAGCATTATTTTACTTGAAAATAACATTAGCATTTTTTTCTACTGGATTGGATTTTCAGATGTAAACCATAAGAAATCCCGTGTTAGAGAGAATATTTTGCACTCCAAAATCATAAGACACTTTTACCCAGACAGAAATTGACCTCGGAAAGGAGCCATGCATTGCTAAACACAGCAAATTACCCACATCTCCTGGCACCTGCCCGCTCGTGTTCCTGTTTACACACTGGGGAGATTTTAGCATGTGGAGACAAAGTGTAAAATCAGAAAACCCTTTATATAATTAATATTAAGTAAATTAATAGTCTCACTGAACATTCTTAATGGTCTCATTCTAAACAACAACGAAATGCAAATATCTCTATGTCAGAGCTGTAGTACCACCTACTTTCTTTGGCTGGTGTTCCCAAAGGAGAGAAAGGAGTTTCAGAATTTTATCTTAAACAATGCTATATTTTTAAGAATACATATTTATTGCAATTATTGTTCATCTTTTCTTCTCTAGATAGCCATCTTTCCTATTCTTAAAAGATACAAAGTGGAAATCAATTACTACTTTGAATCATTGATCTGATATGATGTTGAGTAAAAAACAGAGAAAAGGAATCTGCACTTAAAATTTCCTCACATTTGAGATTCTTTTTCTAAAAAGAGTATAGATTTTACTCCTTGCTAGTCTCACAATGTTGAATGCATTAATTAAATAGCTGGTTATTACATATTCATGTACATTTATTATTGATAAGGTAATAAAACATAAAAGCTTACTAGTGAAAGACTAAACCTGCCCCAGTTAAAGGCATAGCTGTTCATAATAGTAATGAAATAAACGAATAGCAAATAATACAGAAACAATGCATTTTCTTACTTTGTTTACTTACTGAGCTGATTTATTGCAGATTTAGAACACTGTAACAGAGAACAGAATTTGGCTTTTTAAAATCCCAAATAGTATAATGTGATGTAATTCCATAAAAGTAAATGTCTACCTGCTGAGGATTAAGTCTATTATATTTTTAGAGTCCCTTTTATCCTTTTTTACAGCCATTATATGAGGTACCCCTACACTTCTTCATACCTGTAGCAATAAACAACAGGAATTAAGAGAAGGCAGAATATAATTCTGTGTCTACTGCATCAGTGTAAATCCAGTATATGCCAACCACATCAGCTCAGCCTCATTTTTTTGGTAGCACTAGCGCAAGAATTATAATTTAATCCTCCCAGCAGAGACAGAGAACAATAACTGGATATTTTAGAAAAATCAGTGCTAAACTACAGCAGCTGCCTGTTTGTATTTGAAAAGTCACATTGGCAGAACATTTTTAGTGGCTATAAAAGGTTAATAACTTCTGACTTTATATCTTCTCTAAAAGATGAACCAAAACCTTACAGTGTTGTCACTGTCACCTGTAGGAACAGGCCTGCTATCTGGTTTATGGCAAGGAGAAAATGCCCATT